CGTGTAGAAAAAAAAGTATTTATTTTTCTACACGTAGCTAATAAATCGTCCATTACATATTGGTCACAAAAACCAGATATGATCCTGTAATTACAACTCTTATATTTATCAAGAACTACATTAATTAAAATGAAACATAATCCAGCAATCTGGCTAACTGTTACGCAATATTACATGCCAACATCTGCGTGAATCCTACTAACATTATAATAGGAAAAAAGTAGTAGATTTAGTAGGTTAGACATTTAGATGTTTGTTATTTCTTCACGCAAAAACTACTGATTTATTATTCATGAAATTCGGCACGTACGTAATTCTGAGTCTGGATTAACATATAGGCTGCTTTATTTACCACTTGATTCCCTAGGATAATTCCCTAGAAATAGAAGTACAGCTGCGGACGCATATTTTTGTGAACGCTACCGCAACGATAAGAGATATGTGAAGTAAATTAGAAGAGTCGATAAAACGGTGTTTTAAAGAAATGGAAATTAAAATAAAATGTCCAATTTACAAATTTTAATCCATGTTAAAAACATGTATTAGATCACTTATAAATGTTTAAAGACTGTAATTTTAAATCGGCTATAAATTAAAAGAACGTTTAGTAACAAGAAACACTTATTCAAGGCGAGAATTGCAGTCAAGATACGCAGAAAACTTATAGAGACCTACATCCGGAGTAGGGTAGGTCTTATGTAGCGTTGGAAAAGGATGGAAAAGATTTTCTAGACGGAACTGCAAACGAATAAGTAGTGAGAAAAACCAACGATAAGAAGCGGCTATTTCAAAACATAGTAAACAGACAAAGAAGAATGTTAAAATATTTAAAATCTCTGTGAGTGTAAAGTATGTAAAATTGCATAAATATGAGATAGATAAAACATAAAAAAAAACATGACAAGTATGAATGGGAACTACAATGCGAAAATGCTAAGCGTAAGAAGTGCAAAGTAGAAGCAACTAAAAAAGTATATAGGATTGAAATGTAAGTAAACTGACTACGTGTTAACGATTCCCTGAGGCTACATCTACAGTTGGATCAGGTAATATCCCAGCGAGATTGTGAGCCATGTTATAGAATATTAAATTAAGTTTTATATGTTTATCTTTCACTTAATAGGAACGTGATAGTCGGTCTTAGGATATTTGATTCATAAGATTCATCTGATTGATTCATCTTAGATGTGAATAGTTTGAAGAATTTTGCAAAAATACTTCCTTTAGCTTTTTAAATGAATTGAACACCTGGAGCCTCACCATGAGCGAGAAGGACACCGCTATTGTTCCGTATAGCGCTGTACCGCCTTCTTCATAGATTAAACATTGCTGTAAGAAGTAAATGGTAACCCCCTTGAACATTGCTTTACGAATTCATGTCTTTTTTTTATTCTTATTTTTTATGGGCTTTTGAACTTACTGATCATGTCAGCCCAATCTTAACCAAATAACTAATATAAAAATTATATCTATGGAAACATAACTTTGTTGAATAACATTCTGGCTTCATCCGACAATGGACGTTCTAGGATACTTTGAAATACACCTATGTCATTTTTATTGTACTTAAGATTAAAAAGTAAATTATTTCTCTCTGCTTCATTCTTATTCATAAGTCTTGCTAAATATCAGGTTGCTCATTTAGTTAGAGCTTTCTTTCGGATTACGAAAAATTATGGGTGCGAATCCCATCTTATAGTTTGTGATTTTTTAAGCATTTTACTTTGACATAAATATCAATATAGCAATACAAAGTTAACAAACTATAGCACATGACAGTAACCAAATTACCAAAACCACTAAATGACGAGCTTAATTTTCTCCATGTCACCGGTGTCGGTGATAAAAGTTTAATTATATTTTAACCAGTCTTTTCACGGACCGCTAACAACGTGCCAGAGTCGTGTGTTTGACACAGACTAATGGTACGGACAATTCACTTGCAAATTGAACATTTTAATATGGTTGGGATTAAATTTGCTCATTGCCTCAAGGCTAAATCACAGTATCAGTAATGTACGATTAAATCATTGAAATACTAATTACGTTTGGTTATTTGTGGGGTTGCACTTTTCTAATTTACACTCTTTTAATTACAGTTATATATGGGGACAAGAGTACGCAAGTTGATCTGGAATAGAAAACTGCAAAACAAATTAAAAAATTGTGAGACAGATTAGTAAATTCGGGCGTTGTCTGCTGTGTCCTATAAGGTTACCATACCATTTAAATGCTTAGTTAATAAATTTGTCATTCTTAGAAAACGTTTTACATTATAATAAATAAAAAATGAGCTTGATAGCGCACTTAACGTGCTCGGTCTGGTATATTCAACAACATTGGCAGGGCCAAATCAATATATATATATACATATGTTCTCTTTCTACTCATCTTATAACTTACATAACGTTTATAATGCAATTTACCTACTATTGGGAATTAGTGTGAGGCATACATTCAAAGGCAAGAATAAAAACAAAAAAAATTACTCTAGAAAAAGTAGTTGGCAACGAGATCCTTTGCGAAAGTAAAATGCTTGCGAACAAAAGATGGCAAATGCACATGTTTTGTCTTTCTTTCCATTTTCTTTTGTCGCACCATTTATTTGTATTGTTGCGTTTGTTCCATAGGGCTGATTCATCCAACGAACCGCCGGCCGCTAACGGACTCACTGAATTCGGAGAGGTAAGTAAGCAAGGGAAATATATCTTTATTACTAGGCTAACACTGTTACGTACAGCTTGGCGAAAGTTACAAACAAAAATATTTACTATTTACTTTGAAATACGAACGCGTTGTCCCCCTCAATGCCTAGTAACAACGTGGATTGATGAAAAGAAAACATTCTTGTCGTCAATTTGAGGATATCACAACCATATTATGAAATTAACCATTTGGTACCTAAGCGACTATAGCTTTAGTATTGCTAAGGCGAAAAGACTTTTTTACAAGTTTATGATTAACGAGTTCGCAATCTGATTACCCTTTCCAGCTCAAATTCATCATGGTCCACGTCAAACTTGAAACTAAATTAAAAACTCAATCAATCTTAGTTCTTGGCAATATTTTTTCTCTCTAAATGTACACTGAACTTTAGGAATGGAAAATGAATTGTACTCGATTTTATTTATTTCGTTTAAAGAACTCTTAATAAAAAAAATTCTTATGTTTGAATTCATACTTCCTATTATAAAGGTTCTTTTAAAAATATATTTTATATAAAAAAGCTCTTAGCGTGGGCGAGATTCGTTACCGATTTCTTTTTAATCCGGTCAAAACGAGTATAGGCAATTATCGCGTTCATCCCAAAAGTTCATTAATTTATTTGGCCAATCCCTTGTTTTAATGACAGTTTTTTTGGCACTCACCACAAGTAAGGATTCTGTTCTTTCTCTTCAATTGTAATAAAGTACCGAGGTCGTCACGTTTGAATCACATTACCATTTTATTAAATTGATGGCAGATATTGCGGAATGAAATGAATCGTAGGTTGTGCCATGGATGGATTCATTCATAGGTTGATCATAAGAACATCCTATGATTCCAAGAATTGGATAAATATCGGTGTTAGAATCGTCACATGTAAAATCTGTTAAATACAAATATGATATGAAATATAATATATTAACGTATTTTCAAATCTACATAATTAAAATCGCATTCTAAGAATATAGAATTTAGATAATTATAGTTTATAATAGATTGTCTTGATTTTTTTTTTGAGTATATAAAAGAAAAAGGTAACGATCTTTGTGCTCAAATCATATAAGTAACTGAACTTTTAGAATAAAAACAAGAATGCTTATTTAGATTTCGTCAATTTTTTTGCAGGTACAGTCTGAGAATTTAATCGAGTTGCTTTACTTTCAGACTCAGTATTGTTGGTACCTATTCAAGAAACGAAAGTTAAAAAATATAGCATATAATAACATGAATCACACCTGAAATTGAGTTGAAATTATAATCTGATGGAAATATGATGGGGTACTGGCCAAAGTTCGCACTTTTTGGTTCTTCTTATTACGATATGGTAATAAGATCTATGCTAAGCAAAATATTGCAGCTAGCGAATGAACGACATAATTTCATACGAAAGCTTTTCAAGTCGGTCGTAGACATTAGAAGTTGTGACGGAATTCTTATGAATAAATTATGAACGTTTTGTTTTTGAATTTATTGTGTACTTTTTAAGATTACATGAATATTGTAAATGGTACCGTTTTAATATTTTGATGACGCTTTTGGCAATGAAGTAGTTCTATTTGTTGGCTTTCAGAGAGAGGGTCTAGGGTTCGATTTCCGATCGAGTCAATGTAGAAAATGAACTTTTCTGTATTGGTCCAGGTCTAAGAGTAAGGTAATCGTTGTATTAGATTACCGTAATCCAAGCGTTTTGACTTCTAATTTGAGGTATGAACAAATATATGATTTTGTCCAATATTTATAACATTATCTTTTGTAAACTTTTTTTTTTATTTTGATTTTCACATTGTAGATATATTAGTTTTTATATCATGTAAAGAAATGCTCATAAATTCTACTGTCACAAATGCTCATGTAGAAAATTCAACCTCGTGACTTTTCTCTTACCAGTCGACTGGATCTTAAAAAGATTATAGAATTATAATTATAGACAGCTTTTTTAATATTTCAGCAATTTACATTTACACAAATGTGGAACCCCTGTCTTGTCACTAACTAGATAGAATTTTGCCTTCAGCATCTATTTATTTATAAAATAAAAAAAAAGCATATTAACAAATTTAAATTACAAGGTACTGAATAAGAATGCTTTTTATAGTATTTTAAACTGTACAACCACATCCACAAATCATTAGAAATATAAAGGAACATTAAATAATAATTTGTTACGTGACTTCAAAAGCAGTTAAATTTGTTAATATCCCTTGGGGTGTGAAATAGAAATTCAAAATTTTCACAGCGACAACTCTCAGCGAGCTACGAGACCGCTTTGTCCTATAAAATAACAAACTACACGAAATAATTAACAAAAGCCCGTGAATAGAGTTTGGACCGAAAAGGTTAATTTATTCTGTTTTAATGTGACGAAATAGCTCTAGAATTACTTTAACAGTATACGCGTTTACAAACGCTTTCGAATTATTCATTCACTTTTCACACAAAACACTTATTTTATATATAATTTTATAGGAAAGTTTCTACAATATAGATTTGTTAAATACAAAACCCGCTTTTGTTTATTATAAACAAAGATAAGCTGAGCGAATTTTAAATAGTCTTTGCTCCACAGCGTAAAAAGTAAAATATGATATTTTGTCAACAGAAAGTGATAAAAGAAATGAATCGCCTCGGAATGCTGATAGATCTGTCACACGTGGGTGAAAATACCACCAGAGCTGCAATTAGGGTCTCCAAGGCTCCAGTAATCTTCAGTCATTCTTCAGTTTACAGCCTTTGTGCTCATAAGCGCAATGTTCCTGACGACATCATACAATCTCTTGTAAGTATGCCGTTAAAATATATACAAAAAATAATACTATCACATTAATGTGACAAGGTTTTTTAATCATAGACAAAGTCAAAATATTCTTCATTCAAATATTATATGCTTTAAAATGAGCACTTTTAAATATTTCAACATTTTTATTTACCTTATTCGAAACACCTTTTGACTGACCACGACAATGGATTCGAGAAACTTATTTTATCAAGATAAGACATAATTCATGTCATTTCTAACAATATTGATTATTTTGTTATCAGGAGCCAAATGGATTTTTAAGCATTTTTCTTTAAGAAAATTAATTAATTAATATTAAGTTTTATTATTTTGTATTGCATTACGATACTATTTCCCTAATCCCGTTAATACCTAGCCGTTCTTTACAACATTGGGAGCAACAAAATGACCGACACAGCCGAAAGTTTCAAGTTAGGTTATATGCAAACGTTCATTTTATTTGACAAATATTTCAAAATATAGGAGGTGTAAAAATGGAGTAAAAATGTTAAATTTCTAAGTTTTGAGAGCCCTATAACGCACATGCGCAATATCGATTGTGCGCAGATAACAACGGACCGCGAAATACATTAATTTAATTTAATTATTTACCCGATATCTTAATGAAAGTCGATGCTGAAAATGTCCAATTATTTTCTGATGACAGCTAAAGCACACTCTTTTGCATGCCAGTGCATGCACGCGCAAAACACATCACATTTCACAGAAAACTAAACATAATCTTCACTAAACTAAACTTAACGAACACGTAGTATCTTATTAACAAAAATTTAATTAAAAATGCACTAGAACAAAACAAAAATGTGTGGCAGTGGCAGCGATGCAGTAACGTGCCTCACGCGCAAATGTCCGGCGGTGACTGAAACAAAGGCGTGAACGAATAAATATGCATAATAAATAAATAAATTATTACTTATTAATTGGTTCATTCATTAATATTCACTGTCATGCAAACTCATTCACCAAATATAGAAGGCAAATGTGACTGACTGATTAATGAACGGACCAACAGTGGCTGATTTATCGACACACAGCTCAAACTAAGACGAATAAGCTTATATAAGCTATTTAATCATAATTATGTCGTAGGTGTTGTATCTACTACTACAAACTACGGAACGGATCGGGCTGAAATTATTTTAAATATTAGTTGATGTTTTCCCGTTTCTAGACTTCACCCGCGTACGAGTATGATGTAGAGCTTCCCGTAGGTGAAAGAATTTATAAAATCATTCGGTATCAAACAAACCAACCAAACTCAATTCATCAATATATTTGCCAGTGCAGATAAGGTTACGATACCTTATGTCAAAAATAAGATAAGATAAGATAAGATAAGATAAGATAAGATCTTTATTTGCCAGAACACAAGTCATTGAGGTCACAAATAATCAGACAAGTACAGTATTCTGCCTGCGGACAGGCGTGCAAATATTGTTATTATATTATTAACTTATTACATTTTTTATTATCATATTATATATCAAACATCTCATAAAATTACAAATTATTATTATATATTATCATTATGTCATGGATTTTTTTTTTAAAGCTAAAAAGTCTTTAACGCTATAAAAGCAGTGTTCTAGAAGCCACTTTGTCAGTTTTAGTTTAAATTGATTCATGTTTAACAGTTTCATGTCATCTGGCAAATTGTTATATAAAATTATGCACATATTGTAAATATTGTTTTTATAGATGTTTTTAAGACAAGGAGGCTGATACAACAGGTTTCTATATTTTCGTCTTGTTTGTCTCGGAAATATGTCCACACGTTTACTCCAGTAATTGGAATGAGAGTGAACAAATACACAGATATCTTTTATGTACATACAAGGTAGAGGCAAAATATTAAGCTTTTTGAAAAGTGGCTTACAGCTATCATCGAACCAAGCATTACACATAACACGAACACACTTCTTTTGAATTTTAAAAACTCTGTTTAGATCTACGGAGGCTCCCCAAAGTATCAGGCCGTAGCTTAAAACCGACGACACATAACCATGATATGCTGTTAAGGCAGCTTCAACAGAAACTGTTTGTTTCAGTTTCTTTATGGCGAATACAAATCGGTTAAGTTTTCCACATACATGGTCAATGTGCTGCTTCCAATTAAGATGTTTGTCAATAATGATTCCAAGAAAACGTATTGAATCTACTTCTTCTATTACGTCATTTCCGAAATTAATTTTTAAATGAATAGGGTTTGAATTGTATGATCTAAACTGAATTAAGCGTGTCTTACCTATATTCAACTTTAAATCATTTGAATCCAACCATTTAGTAACGTCTGATAGTGCTGAGGTTATTTTACATTCAAATGTGTCACTATTAGTATTATCACATTTAATAACAATTGTTGTGTCATCTGCGAACATTATGCATTTATTGTTTGTGCTACGCGGCAAATCGTTTACGTATACCAGAAAAAGTAGTGGCCCAAGTATACTTCCTTGAGGAACACCGGTATTATTTATTCTGAAATCAGATTGATATGACTGTTTTATATGTATATTATATTTCTTTACAATTTTACTCACCTCGGTAGCCTGTAATCTGTTGTTTAAGAAACATCTTATCCATTCAAGAGCATTACCTCTAACACCACAATTGCATAGCTTGTGCAAAAGCTTAGAGTGACTTACAAAATCAAAAGCTTTGCTCATATCTAGGCACAAAGATACAACAGGAGTTTTGTTATTGAGGCTTTCAGTTATGTGACGCATAAATTCAAAACATGCCAAAGAAGTTGAGCGACCCTTACGAAAACCATATTGGTCTGAATGTAAGGTATGGTGTTTTTCAAGAAAACTCAACAGCCTAGAATGCATAGCTCTTTCGAAGATTTTAGACATGATTGGTACTAAAGTTATAGGTCTATAGTTATTTGGATCCAGTTTATTGCCTTTCTTAAATAAGGGTTTCACAATACTGATCTTTAGTTGCTCTGGAAACTTCCCCTCACTAAATGACAAATTTATAAGATGAGTCATAGGATGGCATATAAAAGAAGCACACGATTTAATAATATGTGTAGTAATACCATCGTAACCATTTGACTTACTATTATTCAAAGAAAGGATAATTTTATAAGTTTCATTTACATCCACAGGTCTTAGAAACATTGTAGAAGAATTCGTATTTTCAATAATCGATCGAGATGTCGTAATATTTGCAGAGTCATTGTTTTTAGTCAAATTTATAAAATAATTATTGAAAATATTGCTAATGTCAAAAGGATTATTGTATATTTTATTGTCATAAGAAATGGAATTAATGTCGTAATTATATATATTATTAGAAGTCATTGATGATATTGTATTCCAGGTAGCTTTACATTTATTTTTATTATTTCGTATATATCTATTGTTATAAATTTTTTGTGCACACAAAATACATCTTTTTAAAATACTGTCATATCTTTTTAAATTAACTTTATTTTCTGATTTACCATGTTTAAAATTTTTGTATTTTAAATATAAAGATCGCTTAACCTTGCACGATTTTTTAATACCCTTCGATAGCCAAATCAGTTTTTTTGAACGATTATTTATTTTTACTTTAATGATTGGGAAGCAAAGGTCGTAAAATAGGAGTATCATATCATAAAAACTCTGGAAAGCATCAATAAAATTAAAACTATCTAAAACTTCCGAAAAAGAAAGAGACGACAAACATTCACAAAATTTAAACATGTTATAGTAACTATAGTCACGTCTTTCTTCAAACCAAGTAGAGTAGTGTTTTTGTTTATTTTTTATTTTTATTCGAATTGTTTGAGCTGTTTCATGATCTGATAGCCATAAATAATGAATTTCAGGGATCACTGATTTAATATTGCTTGCAATTTGGTCAATACATGAGTTTTTTCTAGTAGGTTCAATTATATGCACGTCTAAACCATAGTTTTGTAGTGTACCTAATAAATTATTGGTGGCAGTATCTCGTTTCAAAATATTAATGTTCCAGTCACCGCACAGCACTATTTTTTTGTTCTTATATTTAGTGGTAAACAAACATAGAAGTTTATCCAATTTATATAAAAATATTCCTATATGTGATTTTGTTTGAACTGGTATTCTATAAATATTTACTATTATAAGTTCTACTCCTACAACTTCAATGCCGCAACATTCAAAATAGTAATCTGTCGCTAAATCTGAAATAAAAGGTACTGATTTTACCTCTAACGTCTTTTTAATAATTATACAAGTCCCACCTCGGCTTTTTTTACGACAAAAATTAGCCACCAATTTATAATTATTTAGCTTAATATTTGCCTCCGAACCCTGACGAATAAAGGTCTCACTAAGGCAGATTATATCTACCTCCCTGCCATTTTCTTTAAATTCATTAATAGCAATGTTCAGTAAATCTAGCTTATTACAAAGGCCTCCTATATTTTGATTAAATATAATTAAATCGCTACTATCCTTACATATCACATTTTTAGCACTTTGAGAGATATTATTCAAAGAAGCACAAATTTTAGGAGCGAAAACATTTGACAGATTCACGCGACGTATGAGCGTGAACATTATCTATAAATTCAGATTGATAACGTATAAAGTCTATTTCTATATTAATTTTAAAACATAGCGAATATAGAGAAAGTAACTTATCGCTTTCATGTATAAATTTACAGTTTTTATAGCATTCTACTAACATTTTGAAATCATTATTTATTACATTTTTATTTAGGTATTTACTATAACGCACAGACAATAAAATTATTCTAATATCTTTCAATTTAAATAATACATTGCACAGGTTGGAGTACAGTAAATGAGGATTTTTATCATTTCCACCTAAAGACAAAATTATAATATCGTCCTTTTTAAATGTATATTCATCACTAAGTAGGCTATTTACCACTTGAGTACTCGATGCATTTGGCTTTATTAGCGCCGTTGTTTTATATGTATCATTCCATTTACCCGACCTTGTATGTGATAGTTTGATTGACAGCCCTCTCACACTTTCATCCCCAAATATATGGATAATTGACTTTTTTACAGTGTTTAGTGTATCATATTCTTGACTGGTGGACTGGTTTCGTTGAATTTTTAAGTTCGTAGAAGATGTCGCTTTATTTTGTGGAGGAGTTTTTGGTGTACTAGAAAATTTCATACGATCATTTTGTAGTGTCATTTTGTTTTTAAGTTCTGGTTTGTTGGGGGAGGTATTCAGCTGATGCGTATTAAGTTCAATTACACTATCATTTACTTCCCGTTTCTGTTTACTAAAATGACTTCTGATCTTATTTCGTTTAGTAGATTGCGAATTCGGTGTAAATTGACTTAGATTTTTTAATTGTATAGCTTTCTGTTCATGGCTTCTTATTCTATCTTTTAACATATAGGTTTCTGAAAGTAAATTCTCAATTTCACTTTCTGCTATTTGAAGTTTTGTCCGTAAATCGATAATTTCTTTTCTCATATCGTCCGCTTGACTATAGATCATCGACTTTTCTGGGCAGCTTCTATTACATAACCTATCCGATGAAAGTGAGAGATAATCATTTTCATTATCATCGTCACAAGAGAGATCAGACAATACTTCAAAGGAATTATTTATTGGAATTGACGAAATTGATGTTGTTTTCGAATCATTGCGTATAAAGTTACTTTGCTTTTTTATCACATTAGTTAAGCAGGTACATTTCCAGTTACGGCGGCTCTCGACAGTCATAAGGCAAAATAACTTGTATGACACATTGCAACAGTTTAGATGGTAGTTATTTTCACAGGTTGAACAAGTTAAATATTGCCTGTCTTTAATTTTTTTATTACATTTAGCGCAATCAGTAGACTTACTCTTTTTTCTAGTTATGACACCCGAAGTTTCACGAACTTTTGTTGCCATGTTTATTATGTGTATTTAAATTTCTTTTCTACTTAATAAAAAGACAAAATTGTGATACTATGAAGTGGCGGGTTTGAACCTCGTAACTTTGATATCGTAATTCTAGCACAGTTGCCAATGCGCCAACTATGACTTAGTTCGGACTGTGAAATTACAGAATTGTATCGGTAATCAACTTCGTAGTTTTTACTTACATCGATAGATGTCACTGTTTTATTTTAAAAAGCATGCTACAATACCGTATTTGTTTAGTCCTTAGAAATCTTTCCATTAGGTGGCGCTTTTTTTCAATGGTTACAAAATTAGACTGTAAGTGTTATCAGCAATGGATAAATTCGTTTGCACTGTCTCTATTTTTTATATTTTTCAAATAAAATTAACGATCAGCTGATTGAACATAATACTGAATTGTAGCGTAGAATATTTGTAGTTTCACTTATTATCGTTCACTTTTTAAATAGGTTATTTATATAATGTTGCAACAGATTTTCCGATGATTATCTTACTTATTTAATGCTGCGTAATAAAACGTTTCATGCTGCTTTAATTCTCATTCAGTGATTTCACTTTTCACTCAGATTAATTCACTAAACCACCGAGTCCTTCGTAAATAACAATAACACATAATATTTGAGTATCTTTTAACAATTTAATCACTTTAAATTTTGATAAAATCCACTTAATCTATTTTAAATCAATTTTCAATACGGAGCTAATGTTTATCTGGCTAGTAGCGACATCTGACTCGTAAACATAAATAAAGACGTAAACAGGAGTAGGATATGATACAACGAGGTCCACGATACGCCTAATATCAAATTCAGGCCCGGATTTAGGGAGAGGGGGGGGGCAAGTAGGGGTGCGTGCCCTGGCACCAAAATCATAAAAAATATGTGCGTTGAAGGAACGGTGTTAAGTCGCAAAATCAAATTTCTGCCCCTGCTGGAAAAAGTTATGGAAATATCTAAAAACAAAAAAAAACTGCTTGGCGTGACAACAATGCATTAAATTGATTAGCATAACTGAATCATTACTTCAAATAACAATGATAGTTTGACTACTATTACAAATGTCAAACATACTTTATATATATATATATATGTTTAAATATAAACTTATATACAATTTGCTCATTTCTGGAGTTAGAATTATGAAAATTGGTCACTGGCAGAAATCCAGTCTCAGATAACACACAATTCGTCATAACTGAACATCCGAACTCTGTTAGAAAAGTCTACATTAAACTCATTGAGATTAGTAGTAATAAGACCTTATAAAAAGTTTTATCAAAACTTTTTTTATACAGGTAATTTGCCGACCGTACATTTTATGCATAATAATTGCATAAGAAAGAATCAAATTGGTTGGCTATAATTTTAAGGAGCTCTTGGAAAAGCTGCAAAGTTACGCCATATACGGAAGGATATATTGTTAAAGACTAAGGAAATAGCTTCCTTAGAGATAATGTTAACTTTGAGACAATGGTACGACCTATATAAGTCGGATGTTATATAATGTTCTTTACTTTGTAGCATTATATTGTGCAACAGTTATTTTATAGAAAAACGGTTTCATTATTTTTCGGTATAAACACAAAACATGACATAATAAATTAAGAAGTAATTAAATCACTAACTTTAAATAGTACACGACGATTCGTTAATTCATTTATCTCTTATTACCAAAGGGTAGGTGAGATTAAAAATTGCATATATAGTTAACCAGACTTAAAATTATCCGTATACCAAATTTCATCAAAATTCGATCAGAAGTTTATGTGTGAAAGAGTAACAAACACACATATATCCATCCTCACGACTTTCACATTATAAAGTAGGATTAAATAAGAATGCTGGCGCCATCTACTAAAAAAACTGGAAAATGAAAATGAAAAACGTTTTATTCGAGCACTTCTGAATCGTACAAGATTTTTTCCCTTTCGCGCCTTTAAATATCATGACATTCCACCGTAAACAATAGTAATTTTATTTACTATTAACTAATATCCAACTAGTAGTTCCGAGAATTACCATCTATAAGCAATGTTAGAAACTACCTCTTTTTTTGCTTTTTGAGAATATTTTTTTAACCCTTCATTTATGAAATAATAAATACTCAGACCACGAGGGCGAAGCCGCTGGTTGCAGGTAGTAATTTATAATTTATTGTTATCTAAAACAAAGAGTACCTATATGTATATAGCTAGTCTAATTTTTGTAAGAACCTGAATTTCGTAAATATTACAAAGCCTCTTTCATCCCGAATCACTTAAAAAAGGTGTATCTTAATATTGTATAAGTTTGTTTAAAGATTTTTTTTTAACTAGCTTCAAATAGTAGTTATGTATTTGACCTGCAATTATACTAAGAGTATTAAACCAAACGTAGGTACCTATGTGATAAAATTCACTGGATGTTTCTCAAAAAACAAAAAATCGGATTGAAACAATTTATAATTAAATGTTATATTATGTATTATATTTTTGTTTCAATCTAGTTTTGTGCAAATTCATTGAGTATATTATTCATTCAAGATATTCAATGTTAGGTGTTTGTTAAACGACTTCTTAAATTGATTTTACCTTATAATAATTATAAGAATAATTTAGCTTCTTGAAGTCTGTTTATTTTATTTTTTATTGAGATGGCGTGCTGACTTCTAACTTCCTATTACGAGACCAGTTTCTCTTTCCTATTCAGACCTGTTTATTTAGTATTGTTTTGTATAAAAACAAAAGCGTGAAGACGAATTTCTACGGTACAGCAAACAAAAATTCCTACAAAATCAGACGGAGTTGGCTATTCAAACGGTCCGAAAGTTTGTAAAAGTAATGTTGTTCCCATATTTGAGTTGCGCGTTCAGAGCAATTACATTAACGTTCCACTGGGTGTTTGAAGAACACGACATTTTCATTTACGACGACGACGCTTGGCAATTCTCTTCGGCAGCTGGGCTGAGATGTTTTCTCATAGATACGTTGCTTTCATATGAAATTTTATATCATTTATTCGGTCTAGATTGTTAACAAACACATGTGTGAGTTAAAAAGCTGTATTCTGGTGGCAATACCGTTAGCAAAAAAAAGACATACTTATATCGTGTCATCATCATCAACTATGTTTTCATTTTTTATCTTTTAATGGCTACTTTGCGTCAAACAATGCGAACTTCACGTAGGAGTCCATTACACGATGTAGATCTGCAAGTTTATATTGTAACTAATATATTATCTTCTTTTAATCACATGATTGATGTGTTTGTTGTTACTTCTGAGAAAGAGCTCGTAAGTTTCTTTCGTTCGTTATTCTTATCAGCCAAAAGACGTTCTAAAGAAATTGTTACGTAAGGAAAAATATTTTAGACTATTAGAATTCAGTGCTTGTAATAAGCTTATTTGAAAATACAATTCATTCTAATTCTTAATTTATAAACCAATGTAAATTTAAAGTTGTATAAGGTAGATGTATATATATCATCATCTGAGAATTCAATAAGTTGAATTATTATTGTTGTACTCGTATATTTATAAATTAATAAATAGAATATTTTGCCTTTGACAAAGAATATTAATTAAAATATATTAATTAATAAACAAAATTTCGTCGTTAATCAGCAGTCTGATTATTCACAATAATTGGAAGGAGCCTCTTGACAGTTCAAGAGGCTCCTTCCAATTATTTGCACAACTAATTTCATCAAAAATTAAGTAATTGAATAAAACGTGGCTAACTTACCTTTGTTTATTTGACAGAAAGACAATGGCGGCATCATAATGATTAACTTCTTCCCGGATTTCGTGAAATGTGCACCGAACGCTACCATCTCAGATGTGGCAGGTTAGTTTATAATCGATTTGGCACTGTCATGCCCTCAGATAAATACTAACATCCAGTTTCTGAATTGATAATTTAAAGTGAAGAACTTAAACGTCACTTAAATAGGTTTTTTTGATGGACAATTTGCCATGTGAAACGTTAAAAACTTAATTTATTGAGAATAATCAGTTGAGATTTCGTAATTTCCTCTATTCAGAAATCGGTTGTTAGTGACCCTGTGAACTAGAATATAGTGTATATTAGAAAGACCTGTTACTAGCTTTAGGTTACAAATATGTTAAAAAGTTTTAGAATCGGCCCAGCAGGACAATTCTATCAATAGAATCTCAACTACTTGCATATTACCATTACACTATATATCTGAAGACTGTGTTTATCATCTCCATTATAGTGTTTTAATGAAAAAAAACTTACTTGTTTACAAGAGATCTGTTTTGGCAGCTCAGAAAAATTATTATGTATAACTTGATAGGAAATAAACCATTACAAAAAAATTGTAACTTTATATAGACCACTATGCCTGAAATAAAAAAAAAATATTATTGTTATAACTACAGCTAATAAACTACATTAGTAATGAGGAAAGTATTCCTTAATGGAACGTAGCATATGTCAGGTATAATTCTTAATTCCTAAAACGAGCGTGCCCGTCGAGAAAATCCGAACGTGATAAAGAGCTGGTAAGTTTCTTTAGCTTGTTCTTCTGGTCAGCTAAACGACGTCCTGGTATATGGTAAAGGAAAAAAAATTTGGAACTATTCAAAAGTGCTTGTCATAAGCCTACTTGAATAAAGATATTTTCATTTCATTTCAGAAAGATTATGTTTATCGTATCTATAATTTACGCTTCGAATCGTATTAAGATCTTTTTTCGAACGCTACAAAGAACTTAGATAGATATGATTAAAATAGTATTCTATTGGGTGATTAATCACTAAACGAATTATTTAAAATACAACTTTAATAACTGTTACTTAAAATGAAAAAGCAAGAAAAATAATGAGGCTTTATTTAAACTCAACAACGTTGAAATGGTTTTTATTACTTTTATTTGATTACTTCCTATCGTTAAGTATTCACAAATAGGTATTAAATTGTGGAAAATAGAAAGATCAAAGTCTTATTCACGTCAGGTTGATTATACGACACGACATAACGCCAAATTTTTAAGTTGGTTTTAAGCCTTAAATTTTGATAGTAAAGTTAAAAACTGAATACAGGTTACAGGAACATCGTATCTAATCCTTTCTATGGATTTTAAATATACATAGGTAACTATATGACAGTAGGATTAAACCTACCTAGCTGTTTTCGGGCGACTTCGCCCGCTTACTTTGATGATGTATAGAATACGCCTAAGAAATTAAGATCATAATCTTCATTATAAGATAAGATGCGGCATTTTATTCTTATACCGGATCATACGGGAATACTCACAGGATACTAAATAAATATTATGCCTATTATACTTATTCAAAGTGAAAACGTAATTTATTCTGCAAATTTAGTTTAGACCAAGTTTAGACACTACACGAAACTGAAAGATAACCAATTCTATGAAAGATAAGCAAATCAATCTTAAAATAATAATAGTATTCGAGGAAAACAATACAGACATAACAAATAAGTATATGATTCCAATACATTTCTTGAAAATCTGAGCAACATTATGAACACAAGAAATTGTTGCGTCAGAATGATACTTCCTTTGCCACACGATAGGTTGTTTTCAGTAAAACAGTATAGAATCCGATCGTTCAGAATAATTACTTCGTAGACTACTAGGTAGAACTTTATACGAGAAGTCAATACTATGAGGAAGTATTTAAAAAAAAACCAAAAGCACTAAAATAGCACCTCCACTAGATGGCGACTCTAGCAAAATGTGATTTTTGCAGGAAACTAATGGACCAAAGAACAGTCATTTCCGTTCCTTTTAACTAACATATTAAGACACTGAAATTTGAAAAACTTAGATATCAATACAAATACGAAAAAATACAAATAGAATATGAGTTGTTTATTGAGTTTTGATAAACTAATTTATTTTTAAACTAGAAAGAAAACCGGAAAGGTAGTCATGCAGAAATCTAGAACGTACCGTATCGACATCTAGTTTGATTTCGGGAAATAATGTTTTTTTTAAATACTTCCTCATTAAAAAAAAATTTAACACGTATTTCTTAATATTTGACACCCACGGAAGTATTCCAAAAAGAGATGCGCTGCGTCTTGTTCAACTAGGGTGTTCAGCAGCTAAGGTCTAAAAAATTTAACTACCTCCGTAGCCGAGTGGTTCGCGCGACGCCAGACCTATTTGTCCCAGGTGCGATTCCCTTTCGTGTCAATGTAGAAAATTGACTTCAGATCAAATCAGGCTTTAGCCACTGATCTTGGAATCTTAGTAATATATTATATCAGGTATTGAGAAGATACAGAGATATCAAAAGGTGACTATTCTTTAAATAAAACCAATGCCAAGTGAATAAATTGTTTCGCATCCAATTTCATCGACTCGTAAGTAGTCCTTTGTAGGACCCACTCTAATCTTTAATACCGCAAACCATTATAACGCATATGTACAAGGATACGTAGTGTTCCGGCTTGAAGGATGACAAGGGACGATCTAATAATACTCGAGTGATATATCCAATATATTTGAGTGTCTTGTATACTATACATGAGTAGAGCTTAAGCTCTTGACCCTGACTGGACTTTCTAAGAATTAATTTGAGGGTGACCGATTAGCACATTACCGTGTATTTGAAAACGTTATGAAGCAATCACGTCGCCTAGAGCATGTCCTAATAATCGACTGATGTAAATTGCTTAATAAACCAAACAGTCGTGATATATGTCAAGGGGTAAATATAAGTAGATATCACCGTCTGAACAAATATGTTAAATTTCAAAATGTATGTATATATGTATGTGTGTTTATTGTTTATTAACAATTCGACTGATTAATCGTGTCAGAACTCCTTTTATATTCCGAAAAAAATACAATGTCTAAAACATTAAAAGTGGTTTCAATGGAGCGTAGGTATTTATTTTATCAAATAGGCTTAGTTTCTATACTGTGTCATACTTATACTGCGGTAACACGGTTCCCGTTTTATCCTTTGGGTTCGGAACCCTTAAAAAATTATCAAAATCTATATATAAAAACTATGTAGAAAAGTCTGCGTGACCAAACATAATTATCGATTTGCGTAAATACCAATTTTTGAAAAAAGGCAGAAATTAAAACAATCATAATTTCGAAAACCACTTTCTCGATTTTTATAAAATAAAAACAGTTCTATTTCTAAATGTGAAGACTACACAGACACGAAGTTTCAAGCGATTTGACGGAGCCATTGATATTCCTCATTGTCACGGTTTTGAAAATGAATGGATTGATGATTTATTTCTATACACTACAAATTTAATAACCAAAAAAAACATCAAGAAAGGTGCAATGACGTATCTACAAGACCATTTTATTTTCTTATTTTGAACGCGTAAGAAAATCCAAAGTGTAGCTAAAGAATCTCCTCTGTTTTTCATCGATAAAATAATCTCAATAATAGACAACATACCATAAGTTTATAAAGTAAAATCAAACTATATAGCTTAACATCTTGTGTTATGGAAATTAGAAAAACAAATCAGACAACATATATTTCCTGTAAAAAAGATTCTACATTGACCAGCGGCAATCAAATCTTGAAAACGGCCTTTGAGTATAATGCAATTAATCATTATACACTTATTGTATCCAAAAAACGCTAATGGTTTATTTACATAGATCAATACCGACAAACCCGTCGACCAATGAAATGAGTACACAGCGGACCAGTGTAAATTAAACTTGAAACGGGTTTCTCGTTTCAATTTGCAACCAGTTAAAAAATCAGAAGCATTCTATCGTCGTTACAAAAACGAGAATGTTTTAGTCAACGATTTGTAGCAGACTAATGGAACAATCAAGATCCTCGGATAATTAAGTAGATTAATGTTCACAAATCTAGATCAATGTAACAATTTGTAAGGATACATCACAATTGACATTAAGTGGTAAACTAAGTGGATAGTTTAAATGATATCGTTTATGTTACTGGCATTTATAAATGAAAATAAAAAATGTAAATCCGTTTATTTCTCTGAAGGGTAAAAATTAAAATAAGAACTACGCCTTTAAATAAAGATATGGTATAGACAAAGGTGATAAAGATTTATTTAAGAACAAAAAAGTACTACTCGAATTTTAAATAGATGTCGCTAGGTACTTTGAAATTGTTTATCTCTATGAGCTACAGCAGCGTGTATGTATGTATGGTATTCTGTTACATTACATCGCTCAGATCCAAAAAAAGCTAGCTTTTAGGAAATTTGAAACAACGTATGTACATACGTTGTTTCAAATTCACGGCACTCAGAACTGATAGAATATAGAATTGTTTTTACATTGACCTAACTGATAATCAAACCCGGGACCTCAGACATAGCGACAACTTGAAACCGTTCGCGCCCCTCGGCCATGTAAGAATTAATATATTCATTTTATTATTCATACATTCATTTTAAAATGAATAAAAAATATTTTTCTATTACCGTATAGTCATCTTAATGACTTTTTTCAATAGAACCTCTGGGATTTATTAGTGACCATCTTCGGCGTTTACCATATCGAATTTAGAATTATGTCACATGTTTTCGTACTGAGCTCATCAAATCTTTTTATATATGTTATCCATATTTACGTTATCATGCATACTAAAGATCGCCATTATTTTAAACTTATTTATTTATTATTAGCAGAGTTTATGGTGACTTTACAAGTATATAATAATCAAAGCATAGTGGTTAAAAGTTGGGAAGACAAACACTACCAATATTAAAAACAAAGTAGGTTTCGAATATACATTAGACAGACACACGAAAAACCGGGTGATCATAAGGGTGCCGTTTTCCTCAAGAGGTGCCAAATTCGAAAATATCGAATTTCATCAACCGATTATAACACGATTTAAGTAAGTATTCAACTTTTTATCCAGACCTTTCTTTGATTGGTGAAAGTATGACCGGCGGTGGTGTACGAGCGAAGGTATACTTATAAATTAAACGAACTACCTTAAGTGAAGTTCTATTTTAATTGTACAAACCGCATAGTCTCAAATGAAAATAGTACACATGCTCTGGGAGTCGTCAGTCACGTTTTTTAGAGCCAAAATTAGCTATATTCCAAAGCTATAACTCAAAAAATAAAAATTTCATCTTTTTTCTGCCCCTAGCGCCATCTATAAGGTTGCGAGATGAGCGTTAATTTTTGATAATAAAGTGAATATATTATTCATAAAATGTTATTTACTTACAAAACAAAGTGCATAATACAAAGCAATGCTTGGAAGACAAAAATAAAGAAAAGTTATACTAGTGATGTACAAGAAATTGCAAACCAATGAATTATAACGTTTACAACGGCATCGCCGCCAATTGTTTTATGTTTAAGGAGTTCGCATTGAAACCATTCCAAAAAAGAAGCATTCCAAAAACAACAGCAAATAGCGGCACGACCGTACAATCCTTTTTTCTTAAAGCTATTTGAGACATTTCGATATGATTTTATCTGGACCCTATCAATTTACCCCATCATTACTTATTTAGTTCTAAAGAGAGATGAGTATATTTTATCACATAAGAGTATTATAATGAAATTAATAACTCATAATTATTAATACAGTCTTTATTATTATTAATTCAGACATTTTGTATTATAAAGTAAAAAAATCTTTCAACTATAGAAGGAACCTAAAGATTTTTTAAAAGCCCCGGAATCGGTCCAATAGTTAAGGAGCCTTTTCGATGCAACCAAACAATAAAATCTTTCCTCTTTATAGTTATATAGATAGAAAACTAATATAAAATTTTAATAAAATAAAGCAAACATTTAAGATAAATGTTTGCCTCCCTTTAATATCAAACTGACCGAGTAGATGACTACAAAAGGTTTCTCCTACATTGCTCCATTCTCAACAACGTTTGTTAACTACAAACAATATACCCCAGCTATCAGTTGCGCGTATTTGAAACTTTCCTACAGCGTTTATGCTACGTTCAAGTAAACAATGCAGCTTATACTGCCTTCCTCCAACTTTTTTATATGAAGCAAATACAAATATTACTCTAGCTACACTTTATGGGCATTAACCATTATTTTAATTTAGCAAACTGAATTATAATATTGATTCATGAAAACACCTCAGTAGCGAGAACTATATTTAACACTTTTATGTCTTTAGTTGGTTAAAAAAATATTTATCGTATCATCATGACTATGGAGAAAATATCCAGCTTTTACTTTATTGAAGCAGTCGAATATCATTAATAGAGTATTAATTTAATATAATATAGTATTCAATACAAAATTGTATATTAGATGCAAATCTTATATATATATATATATATATATATATATAAATTTTGTGTCACGATGTATGTTGCTCATAAACTTTAAAACCGATTTCTATCAAATTTCACAACATGTAGCCGTATTTTGGTCTAACTTACTGGATAGAATAGTTATTATCTCAATTATTCGCTTATGTCGTGAATGTAAACAAATAAAATGTTCTTATTAATTGTTTTTTTTTCATCTTTATTTCAAATTGCATTGAATTGATTAATATCTCTAAAGTTTCAAAGATAAAGTGCTGAAACATTGGACATTCGTTGGTATTTTGTTGTACTATCTTCGAACTTAAACATCAAGGTAATTTCATCATCAGCTCGAAAAACAACAGCGTTTTTGGAAAATATGATGCATAAGCTAGTTAGACTATAATTATCAATATTATTTTAACGTATTCTCAAATAGTTACTTTGCGAAAGCCCACTTCGCTGATACGAAGTTTATTATCACCCTGCTATTTCCAAACTTCACGCTTTGAAACGCAAATGCTACGTTTAAAATTGTATCATTCCGTGATGAACAAAGTTCTGTGAAGTTGTTAATTAGGTGAATAGCATTACACTCTGACCTGGCTTAATCCCAATTAGAGCCGATCGTTCATAAACAAAAGCACCCGCCCGTACACCTTGAGGCTCTCTTAAACGACGATCACTTTAAAGCGGCCTCATTTCACAATAGCGTAGATTACAGGTTAGCGAATAAAGCCTATTTAGAATGAAGCCGTCGCACAAAGAAGTAGTCACGGAAAATCTGCAAAATGAGACGTGATGTCATTAAGAGAAACAAAGAACTACATACAATGAACAACGAAACTTATTCGGATATTTGATTCTTTTTCATGTAAGATGTGAAATTAATTTACATTATATTACAATTGATACCAGCGATATCTAGTCGGAACTTGATTTTTGGAAGGAATAAGTCCTGGTCTTAAATAATCAAAATCAGAGCGGACACTCCGGCGGCGAACCTCCGTAGTACTGGGTGTGTCACACACTATGACACAGAGGTCTGGATTGGATAAGTCGTGCATAAGATAGCTAAGAGTGGAAGAGACCTTTATTCAAAGCTGGATCAAGATGATGATTTTTTCAAAAATCTTATTTTTGCCTATTAGCCACACCCCGTCGTTATACTACTCTTACCACAATATATTCCTTCGAATCTTATAGAAATTGCTGTACAGATAACGCTGGTACTTTGATTCTGCTATTAAGTAATGTGTGTAGCTCGGTGGCGTAGTGGATAAGCGCCGCGGCCCGCGATCGTTGTCGTTAAGCAACTTTCGTTAGGGTCGGTCACGGGATGGGTGACCAAAAAATTATTATCTCGAGCTACTCCGTGCTTCGGAAGGCACGTTAAGCCGTTGGTCCCGGCTGCATTTGCAGTCGTTAATATCCTCCAATCCGCAATGGGCCAGCGTGGAGGGTCATGGCCCATCCTCCTTAACCATCCATAAAGAAGGCCTGAGCCCCTGCAGTGGGGACGTAACAGGGCTAATGATGATTTAGTAATACCTCAACTATCACTACTAATATTGAACTAGAACAATTATAAAATATTCCACCAACTGAATTCAGTATGACTTTATGATAATATTGGTTAAAATTAAAGGATCCATAGGATCGAGTGTGATAAGCTTCTAAATAGAGATCGCTCCATTGAGTACTCAAACGCTTATGTAACCTCTCGGATCTGTTCAAGTCGAGTTTAATGGCTGCCGGGAATTCGACAACTTTGGATAAAGTTGGCGTCGTTATCAAGATCACGTGTTCACAATAATTCAGGTCCGATATAATCTTTCATGTTGTCTTTTGTTTGAATAAAAACAGGGCAGATCAAAGCGTCATCAAGGAGGTATTAGATATTTTTTATTGTTAAAAATATTGGAAATATGAAATTTCGTCAAATAAAGCAAGGTGTTAGGCTCCATATGCAATGCTACCTGGTGTTCAAGCGCGCACCATCGCAAAGATTCTGCACGGTGACAGGAGACCAATGGTCACATTTATGAAAGTCTGATGAAAAAAGCAAATATAACACTTAAACGGGGAATTCAGTAGACGGGCTCTAGTGAATTTTCAGCTTTATACGTTATGAATTCGTTAAGTTATAATAGGTTACAATCGTAAAATATGCCTTAATAAAACGAAATATTTTTATTGAAAAAGAAAAGATGTCTGTGTATGAAACACTAAACCATGGCGTTAAATATGTTTACGATTATTTTACAGAACACTTTCATTATGTGAAACGGATGATTGGAGCCGATTACATTGGAATTGGAGGTGACTTCGATGGAGTTAATAGGTAATTATAACACTTGAACTTCGTCAGAATATAGTACTCGCCCAATCTTTGACATTGGCGTATCTTTGCCTCTCTGAGCACGTATCACGTGCCACGTGATATCACAAACCTGAAATACGTTATTTTATTAGCAAAATACGTTACATTCGCTGAAATTCAACTAAAACCAGGAGTAAACGCTTAATATGACCTGATCCAATTTAATGTTTCTATGAAAATCTGTAAAATGTTCATTTTCATATATGACTAGCTATTTTCCCGCAATTTCGCCTGCGTAATTTATAGCCTAAAGTAATCGTCTGATGTACCTTCTTATGGGTGAAAGATTTTTATATCAGTCCATTAGTTAGCCTATTTGATGATTTTAAAACAATATTCTTCTATTGTTTTGAAATCATTGAATAGGCTCCGGCTCCATATTATCATTATAATATGAGTATAGAAAAATATTGTTTTGAAATCTGCTTTGTAAAAATTTTAAACTCAATCGATTTTAATATTTTCAACTACCAATCACAGAGTACCAAGAGGTCTGGAAGACGTGTCACGATACCCCGAATTGTTTGCTGAACTGCTACGTAGTGGGCAGTGGAGTGTGCAGGAACTGAAGAACCTGGCCGGCCTAAATATGATGCGAGTGATGAGGCAAGTCGAAAAGGTACGTATAACAATATCATCTTTTTTACAAAACACAACGATTACCCTGAATTATTTAATAACGACTAACCCAATGATAGATAAGCTCTCATTGGGTTAATATTTCCCTAACATACGAACATAGGAAATTACGAACCTGGGAAAAAAAGGGCAGAGGCAATACATGCGCAATTTTGCCGACGAGTTGCGAAAACATCTATAAAAAGGAGAAGAAAACATGGAAACAATGACCTTAAAATTTGCTTGTAATCAGAACAGTTTAGAGGGCGTTAACGACTGCAAATGCAGCCAAGTATCAACAAGTTAAGCTCAAGATTATTAGTGTTTTATAACCCTTATAACCGTGTTTTCGAAAATCTCTAAATATAACTTACTAGCCTGTGCCCTACAATAAACACTGTCTTATTGTCACTCATTGTTTCAAATAGTAGGCAACAGGTTGCCTGCATGTCGCTTTTGTACATAAAATAGATTCTGATCGACTCTTTTATGAGTTGCGCAACTGGCACATTCTCTTTTTTAGTGTTGTTACAATAGTATTTACGCTATCGAGAGTTAACTTTAAATCGATACTGCCGGTAGGACAATTGAAACTGATTGCTTTTACTGATAAATAGACGATACTATTGTATTTATTCGGACCTATTCAAAGCCGATAATATGAATATTATTGCTAAAAAAATATTTGAAAATATATCGAAGTATATAGTCGAGCAAACTAAGTCTATGGACTATATAATTTGATATATTGATACACATAACAAATATTACGATCACAAAAGTCGTTCAATAATAAAAACAAATAAACTAAATTTTTATATTCTTTTAGCTGTCAGAATATCTAACAAAGCCTAACTGCAACGAATGAACTAATGTTCTTTAGATCTTGCATATTATTCATGCCGAAGGAGGAAAGCATCTGACAATTCGGCTCGCAAATGACATGTGCGCTAATTCATTTGTGTCGGCGGTCCATGAGAATTATTTTGCGTTTACCTTCATTTAGCCGAATTTTATTTTACTACCTAAGTTGATTCAATCGATTTGCCTTAATTCGCTCTTTCATTTCATCATGTAACCATTTTTATCCCGCTACTAATAACACACACCACGACACTTAGATAATTATACTTCCATTGACTTGCAAACCAGATGTAAAGTGTGCCTGACATTCTAATTTGTCGTGACATAGAGCTCAACAGCCCAACCGCCTGTCTGGTCCAACTCAATGTTCTCGAGGCGTGAAATTTGATGTGAAGGGTTCACTTCCAAAACTGACGCTGATTTAAATCCGCGATAGTAAAACTGCGTTTGGTGTTATAACGAATGTATTTTATCTTGATAGATTTTTCAGAATGTACCTTATTTTTTTCATATTGTAAAAATCGTTCAATCAATTAGTTGCATTTATGAATCTACAGTTTATGTCAGTAGGCTCTTTCTTATTATTGTGTACAATATAAATTTAAAGATCAGTACATATCTGATGGAAAATGCGTCGCGTATCATCCATCATCAATTGTGTAACTTCAAAACAGACAAATAATAATTAGACAAGCCAGATAACAAACTATAAACAGTCAAAAAGTCGACAAATTATTCAAATCTATCCAATTTCAACGATTTATTTTAAAACCTCGATAATTTTCTCCATAGGTTCGTGACGAGATGCGCACCAATGGAGTAGAACCAGAAGAGCATCCCGACTCGCCCAACGACAATGGCAATTGCACCAGCAACGCCTTCTATACCGAGTACGTCTAGAATGTTCTAGACGACCGCGGGCTTCGAATAAGACTAGCCTCACTATTGATGTGTTTTCACACAAACTTGAGACGTACAAAACGCACAAACAGTCCTCTCTCAGTCTATGTATTTTAAAAATTTATACAAAATTCAGTTACATCTGTAATGACGTTCGATTTCTGTATTTCTCTACAATTGTTTTTAAAGTAATGAATTGTCAAGAAATTCTCTAATATCTAAGTAATGTAAGCCACTGGGCAGCTCACATACTATGCAGCGCGTATACATTTTTCGATTGTTCCTGCGTTTTAGGAGATAATGTACGTTCATCTTAAGTTTATACAAAAAAACGCATCTAGAGTGCGACTAGCCTAACTGCCTTACTAAAAGTCATGTGCACTTATTATTTTTTTAATAAATATATGAATGATTACTGACATTTTATCATATTATTAAAATATTATGCAAATATAAAAACGAAAGTAAAAATGATAGAAGATTTGGTAATCTTTATGTTGACACCTAAATCCTTTTATTAAATCATAAGTAATAAATACTAATAGTAAAAAAAAATGATAAATTTATGCATAAAATCCGAAAACAAAAAGAACTGCATTATTTTTTGCATTTATCAGACTACATACATAATACTAAATATATTAAATTTAATTGATTCAGAATTTAACTAACGATTATTACAAATTATGTTCCAACTTTATAAATGTCCTTCGATTTATTAAGTTCTGAATCGATCTAATAAATCGAAAGACATTTATAAACTTGAAATATAATTTGAAACGCACGAGCAATCTAAAGAATCCTTCGGAAAACTGTTAGCTGTTAGTTTGTTTTTTCCACATCGGCAACTGTAAAAGAATCGTTACTATTTTTTATATCGCGTCACGTAGCTCGGTGGTAACTTTCCCGACCCTTTCTTATCATAAAATAAACAATGATCCTCGGATGTGATCCGCAAAGTTACCGCCATCGAATCACATTGATTCTATGAATTGAAAAATTTTAAAAATAAACTTAATATTTTGTTGATTAATATGTGCATATTGATTTTTAATAAAGCAGTATATGCAAAACTATGACGTAATCATTAGCATTTTATTCCGGCATTCCATAGATGTAGTAATATATGACCCACAACATATGTTAACCCCAATTGATGTGTCCAGCCTCTTATCAGGCAATCACGGTCAGGAAAATTATGTTAGAGTCCAAAAATTTCGTTTATTTGTCAATAGTTAAATTTGTATTTGTGTATTAATATCTATCAATACTTTACTGTAAAAAATGAAAAGGAAGACGATAATCGCATTTAAAAGTGTTCAAGCAGCTTTAAAACATATGCATGTAGTTGTTTCGGAATATACTTTGTACCTATGTTTCTGCACGTTTCCATTGAATGAAAGTTGTAGAAGCATTGATACTTTGAACTCAACGTAGTAATGAAAACAATAGATGAGTTATAATTCATGACTGGGTGTGCGAGATCTTTTTTTTTTTTGAACAAACGAACTATGTATGTTACCGTTTAGATTTTCATAAAAATTATATACTAAAACGAGCAATAAATTGTGTGAAATCATTTGTGTAATGCGACTATCGGCTTCCGACCTTATCAATGTGTACCTATCCATTTATATTAAGGTCACGTACGGTAACATTTTAATCCTAACGGGACCCGTGTGTAAGTGTAATCAGTGTTGTAGTCTGCATGATAAATGTTCTCTAATAAACTAAGCACTTTCTTTAGAGATGTCACTATACTCTTTTGGGGTCACATATCATAATTCTACAAATATTACTTGAGTTTTAGACAAAGCTCTTAAAGATTATGCCATGTTCTGCTGCTTAATCCAATATCCTGTTTCAAAAATAAACAACTTCTAATATCTGCGTTACTTTCAGAATTTCAGCTTTGTCCTTAAGAGCAATGTCGAGTAGTTAGAAAAAATACAATTGAATGTTAAATTGAGTTTTTACATAACTAACGTGAAATTATTAAAATGAAGCTTAAAAGAGAGAAAATGAGTAAAAAGTAACAGAATAAAACTTTATTTATATATGAGATATAAAACTAAATAAAAGTTTTGGATTAAGAACGTAGGTAGAAAATAAATTTTAACAATGTTAATATGTTATCGTTTGAGAAATGTAAAGGTTTTTTTAAATATATTCAGTTTTACGGTTCGATTTTTACTTAGATATAATAAAATTAATATGTCATAAATTGTATACATTGACAAGAATAGGTATATTGCCATTATTCATTTTTATTTAAATTAATTTTTAGCTAATTTATGTTACTGTAATTTTTGTTTTCAAATAAAATACGCTTCGTCTACAAACAATATATCATTATAATGAGTTTAATATGTTATCTCATTATGCGTTTGAAGTACATAAATGTATTTTTGAATTGCCATTTTCATATGTACAAGTATTATATAGTCTATCTGACTACCCCTCAAGGGAACAGACTTTGTTTTCATTTGTTGCTAGAGGCGCTAGTAGTGTGAGATCTTAAAAATGACAAATATCATACTTTGTTGGTGAGTTACATGCGTTTTTTCTTTTAATAAACTTTTGTGCTTATTTTGGTGTACCCGAGATCCGTTAAAGCGATATATAAATTACGGGCAATGAATTATTAAAAAGTTTAGATAGGTTATCTGCGCACAATATCGATTACAAAAAACCAAGGCA